AAAGCTCTGCCAATTTCAGGTTTAAGTCTGGGTTCCTCTTACTGCATTTCATTCACTTCGCAACTGAGCTCACGAGTGTCTTTGTAGTAGTTCGTAGCTTGCTGATGGCTCTACAATTTACTTGTAACTTCCCTAAACCTCTACTCCGAACTTCTACCCTTCTCTCTTCCACTTTTCCTACGTTGTATTCTCTATCGTCCTTCCCACTCTGTTCTCTCTCAAAACTGCCCCAAACCCTCGCTTCCACTACCGAACTCCAGCTACTGTTGTCGCTGTGCGCTCAACCGTTCAAAGGTGCTCTCTCTCTCTCTCTCTCTCTCTCTCTCTCTCTCTTCCATTTCCTGTATTCAATTATGCTTTATGGTGTTGTTTGAGGAAGTTCTTTGTAATTATTCTCTGGTCTGTTTCAGTTGAGATGCTGCATATTTCTAATGAACAAGGTTTTGAGCAATGCTTTTCATCGTCCGTGTGCTGTTCATATGTTTGACATATCTATATGATCGTTTGTTGGGTATCGTTCGTTTGGTGTGTTTTAATCATATCTCTGTTTTGGGCGACTTCTTGATTTATTGATTGGATGCATATCTGGTTTGGTCTTCCATTTATTTTGCTATTCTGATTTTGAACATCCTTCTGCATGTGAGGATGTTTTCTATGTTGTGTTCAAATGATAGTATTTATAAAAAGTTACATTTATTGAAGGAATCCAATAGGAAGTGGGAAAGGGGCTGGGGTCGTGGTGGTAACACCCCCGCACCCTAGTCACCACGTTGTAGTTTTCATTCCCACGTACACCACCCCACTAACACCTTAAAAAACTAACTCATAAAATATTTGAAAAAATGTGCACGGCCTGTCTTCCCCACTGCATTACCCAAAAAAAGAAAAAAAAATTCAATAGCAGTTGTAGATGGTGCCTTGTCATGTGAACCAAAGATTGATATGGTCTTCTTTTCAATTTTGAGACTTGCAGGTGGACATGTTCTTTTATTGGATGCCTTCCTGTTTCATTTGACAATGGCTAGTTAAGAAATGGATGGAGATAAGCATTACCACCTTGGTCTTGTCCTACACATGGGAATCTTTGTACAGTTGATTAACTGGTCTTGGATTATATGGTCTTTGTTTACGGTGTGCTTATTGCTTTCTGCCTTTTTTTTTCATAAACCATTGTTTGTTCTTAATTTCTTGTTACCAAATAATTAGAGTCGGTGCACCTGATATGAGTCCATTGAACTGTGATGTTGTTGACTAAATGCAGTTACCCTGTCTTCCCTAGTGATTCCATTAGTGTCTTCTCTAGATAACTAATGACCCCTTTTTTTGTGCTGCACTTTTCTTGTTTTCATGTACATATACGGCTGTAGAATGGGGCGGTTGACCCTGAGTTGACTTGAGCCTAGATCTAGGTCTGGACCTTGGATCAGGTCTGGGTCCAACAGACTTGGATCCTTGTCAGGTTTATCCTGACCAATTGGGGTCAACATCTTGACCTAACAGGGTCCTGGTCGGACCAGTCCCGTTCGATCTAGGTCTTTATCAAGGTCTGCTTGACTTAACCGAGAGAGAGAGAGAGAGAGAGAGAGGGAGTGAGAGAGAGAGAGAGAGAGAGA